AGGTAAATTTCCACCTTCTGGAGTCAGGTGTAGATGTGAAAAGCATGCTTGATAATGGAGATTGAAATCTGCCCATGCCAAGAGGATCTGTGGTTCGTGCCCATCAAGGATCTTCCTTCCCCCCCCGCCTAGTCTCCAATTACTGCTTCCCCCCCCTTGGCTACTGGAGAGAAGAATTAGTGACGGCGGGAGCATTTGTAGGTGTGAATGCGAACTGGTGATAAATAAAAAGTGCCCAATCTGCTCATCCGAATCTTGTCCCTATCTCTGTCCCACTCACACTCCTTTTCTTGATATATCTGTACACTGCTCGTGAGTGAGTATCTGCGACCATCTTGACTACTTCTCTTCTGTAGCCGCATCATCCAACAAAGCAACTCAATTTCCTCCAGACTTTTCCTACTCGGCAAGCCGCCCATGCCTGCGCCACACGTCATCCTCTATTGATTATTTCCAAAGAACCAACGCTCCCACCGACGAACAGAACGTCACTTCATAATTATATTGCGAAGAAAGAGACGTCATTTTTTCACCTAGATCTTGTCTCTCCCGAGATCAAAGAGCGTTCCTCCACTGGTATACTAATTTTTTGGTCTTGCTCGTCAACTTAGACGGTCCTGAAGTGGTGCTCGCAAGATCCCCCCCCCAGGTCGATCATCTGGTGCAACAACAAAAGCTCTATCCTGCTTCACACAACGCTCTGTAGCATCTGCCATTCTTTCCTGCTGCTCCGCTATAGCATACTTTATTAGAGAAAGCGCTTTTGTGCAACTGTGAAGCCCGTTGGCTTGGTGTGCAAAGAGACATCCGAATATAACCCTTACTCGCTCGATTTGGACCACACCCACATATATATAAAGAGGAAAAGGCGACTGGGTATCAATTGTGGTGACGGTAGGAAACTCGCAGGCAATTCTCATACGTCTTATTCATTTCGCTCGGACGACCTGCATCCACGGAAGTAAACTCCGATTGTTACAACATCCAGTTCAAGGAAATGAACCGAATATCAGACTGGGACGCCCTTCGTGCTGCTGGCGGACGCGAAAATCGATATAAACTATGTGCGGATGACTGGCAAAGCAAACTCCTGGCCCTGGGAGCTGAAGGGAACAAACTCGTATGGAGCTTCTCAAGTTGTTAACCCTAGCAGGTCACTGACAAGCTTCTCTAGGGCCAAATCGAGGGTATAATGACAGCAGGTCACGACCAAGAGATACGGAAGAAATGGGACATCGGACACGGATTAGATACAGAATGGAAGAAAGAAGACAGAGAGAATGCCAAGGCAACAATCTGGGAATTCTTTAAGGATGATATCGTGTCGATGTACCAAGGGCGTATGGGATACTCACAGACCTCGCCTGGTGGCATCGTTAATAGGATAAAATCGCATACCGGCTTCGTACTGCCGTAAGTCATCTGCTAATATGACTCCCTCTTTAATGCTAACTGCAGAATAGAGAATCAACCATGCTCAATCAGCTTCGAGCTTGGAATGTTCCAATAATGTAAGTATTATATCTCTATCGCTTCGTGACAGCATCGCGAGCGCACAGGCTGCGACTTGCTCTCTCCTTTTTATTCTTGGGTTTTAAGACAGTAACGAAGAAATCGAGCCTTCCAGGATTGTAGTGCTAATTCGATGTAGTGGACGTGGAGGCGGACCATCGGTTGCGAAATCTAGCAGGCCGCTGAACAATGGGAGAGCTTCTCAAATACCCAAGAGGACAAAACCCAACGCAAACACTAATACCAACAACACCACCAACGCAAACCCAAACCCAAACCCGCTCGTGCGACCTCAGCATCCTTCCCCTGTAAGTTTACATCAAGACCAATGTACCTTTTTATTCCTTGTCAGATGGGGGGAGGCTATCTTAGCCCAGTTCATCTCTAATGCTTTAGGCCACTGACAATAGTATACAGGCTGCAGAAACTTCCTCTTCACCACTCGATAGATCCCCTCAAGCGATCTCAGTCTACGATCCTCCTCAAGATGCATCGCCACATTCATCATCAGACGGAAATGATACAATGTCGCAACTAGAGCGAGTCATTCAGAGAGTCAACATTCTAGACGCTGAGGCGAAGGCATATAAACAACAGCTTGAGATGCAGAACCAAGGGATGCAAACACAACAACAGGAGTATGCCCTTGTTCATGCTATGGCAGAACAGAACGCTCGTGCAACGGAGGAGACGAAGACGAAAATGTTGATACTTCAAAACTGCATGAATCAAATGCAAGAAGACAATTCAGCTCTCAGGGTCGAGGTAATGGCTCCAAATAGCATGATTAACATCTGCTGACTTCTCTATCCCTCAGATTACCGAGCTTCGGAATGAGAATCAAGCACTTCGATTTGAGATCAACCAGTATAAACTGCAGATATTTCAACAGGAGAAGGAGATGGCAGATCTGCGCGACCAATCTCATGTCATGCGTAACAATTATCATAGCCTCCTTCATACCCTCGGAGACTTGAAGCGTGAGAAAGAGGCTCTCCTGCAACAGAAAGAGGCAGAAGCAAATCTTAATATGCAATTGAAACAACACATTCGCGAATTCTTGAAGATCTTTTCTGCTCCATACACTCGATGCCTGAAGTACGATGTTGAACGCCTGGCAACTAGTCTAACCAAATTGAACCTCGAGGATGATCGTCGAAGATCCCGAGACTCTGGGTTTTTCTCAGGCAGCCAATCTAATGATTCCAACAGGCTTCTCAGCGTCAATGACCACACTAGCCGTGGAACAAACCCGAAACGGCCACGTCACGAAACTGGCCCACCTCAAATGGAAAGGAGCGTCTCGGATGGGCAGTACGGGAATTCTCCCGCAACACACGCCTCTAGGAATCGATGGCCTCTAACAGAACCACAAAGCCTCGATACTCGATCCATAATAAGTCGTCATGAAGCTCTTCAGGATGAGGAAATTAGGTCTGTAGCGCCTCAAAGTGAGTTCCAAATCTACCAATTCTTTGTCCAAAGGTATTCAGAGTTGCCAAAACTCCTACTGGCTTAATCGACTCCCGCATACCTGACATCGTATTTTCCATGTTACAGGATGAATCGTTGCTAACGTTCTTATTTCATAGCCACTTCTTCGTCAAATATTGACCAAACCGTGAAGGCAGCAGAAGGTGGGCATGGCTGGAGCGCGGCTTCTCCTTCTAATCAGTATATGTCTACTTTCCAGACGGACTTCGACCCACCGATTGGGGAGTTGTTTGAGGGGTGGTTTGAGGATGGGAACTTCATCTATGGTAGTAGCGACTTCGTGAAGTAGTGAAGTATTAGTATTCTAGGTGCCTCGACAAGAGAATACCTGGTCGAGTATATGTATGAGATATGATGTTAGCCTATGATTGTTAGCGAAAAGATACCCCAAATCCAACAGAAGTATTAAATTTTGATCGAATCACCAGACGAGCTTATGACCTCAGATTGTTCTTGGGTCGAGTGTGAGATGGGAAGTGCCAGCAGCGACTCCCTGAATGTCACTAACCTTTCATGTGTACTCCATCTGAGTCACTGCGCTCTTTGTTGCGACTGCCTTTCACGAACAGTACTCTATGTAGGCATCTATGCCTTCTGTTATATTCTTTTGTCCTCAACTCTCGAAGATGTGCGGGTATTTTCTCTCGTCAGATAACAAAGCTGCTGGTGAAGGTATTCGTTCCTTTCATTGAGATTCTTTACCGCATTCCACAGCCATAGCACATGGTTTTTCTGCCATATGCCATATGCCATTGGCTAAATTGTTTTCATTTCTTATACTCCTGCCCCTAGTCCGTTTAATTCGTTTCGTCACTTAATCCCGTAACAGGCATCCAGCTTCCCAGCTTGTTTTGATGCGCATCGCATAGTCGCGGGATGAGGCAGCGCATCACAACAAATGAAGGCAAGGCCAGATACAAGATGGGTTTTTCCATCATTGCCAGATTGAGGTATTGTGAAATTGCGCTGTGTGAAGCTCTGCCTTAAGTATAAAAAAAGTTCGGCTGTAGGGATGCAATGGCTGCCTGGGACGACCCGCTGCCTTCCTTCCCATTTCCGTATGTGCCTCTCGAGAAGGATCATGTGCAAATATCGGCAAGGACCGAGATAAACCAATGAATCTCTTTACATCAAGTTCATTTATTAAGCACGTTTCTATGAGAGGTTGTAATGGTGACGGACCTGCAGATCGAAGCTTACGATGCATCCAAGTACAAAAAGAAATGATTGTTCGGTGTTCATTATTGTTGGATCAGCTCCGTATAGTTTTCTTTTTATGCAAATTCATAGCATGTTCATTTAATCGAGGTCTTGTATAAAGTCGTCCAGGACTCAGTATTGTTCATGCCCTCTCCCGTTGGTTCCGGAACCTTGCTTAGAAGGGTGAGACGACGGCAACTCTAACTATTCACTATTAATAATAGACACAAAAACAGCCTGCCACATACGTATAAGTAACAAAGTCAAGGCTTAACACCAAAAACGAAGATGTAATTGTTAGCCTCGACGGGATGTGAACAGTAACGAAGATATGGAAAGCAAAGGAGGAGGCTACATATGACGTTTTAGCCCCAAGCTGTTATTTGATCTCTGATCTCAACTCATTAAGCTCAAGCAATTTCTCAACCAAGCATTTTATAAGTTTTGAAATTCAAGGTCTTTAAAAGGCAAAATATGTATATCCGAGAGCTCGGATGAATGGAGTACGGGCGGAATTAACCTCACTTGCAGCTTAATTATTTAAGAATTCCAGCTCCAAAAAGTTAAGGCTCAATATTACTGATACATTATTGATTTCAAGCATATTCATTACATAAAATGAGTTATACACTTTTCAAAACGAGATACTTAACATATTGGTTTCCGACCATTAGTTAGGCGGTGTGAACCACTTAAGTGTGCCCCTACCCTCCTAATTGTGTACCCGACAACCGATGCTTCTCCCAAGTAACTAACAAAAGAGCTCAAAACGAACAAAAAAGAGCAAAAAGACACGACCAGGACAGGACTCGAACCTGTAATCTTTGCCACCGGAAAGCTAGAACGTGTAAGACTTTTACCCATGGAGTATCATTTGATATATAGCAATTGAACGTACCAACGCGTTGCCATTACGCCACCAGGCCATCACTTCAAGAAAGTTTTGATATCGAGCTGGCAAAGAACTGTATATTTAACATCGGCACACAAGGTCCACCATTTTATGCCAGACTGGCCAATCAAATAATTTAGAAGCAATTGCTTTTCGATATTTTTGACTGGGTGCCTAATCCTGGCGTCAAACAAAGCATCATATTGAGGTTAGCCACTCATCTCCTCTTTAAGAAAGACTATACACTGGCAAAATCTAAGCAACAGTCGCAAATGCAACATATTTGCACGCTTCCAACCTGAAGCAACTATTGGATGTGGGGTGGCATTTTAGTCTTAGACTTACGCATCGAGGTAAGGAATGCATTTGAGAATACCAACCGCAGCACGTATCAAAACACGACATGTCAAACGCATAGGAGCGCCTCCCAAGAACAGTCGGACATCAGGCAAGCGAAACGTAGGATTTTGCATTAACGGACCGTCAATTCAAGGGCGGAGGAGCGCTGAAAGAATCAATACGTCTAAGCCAGAACCTACCGCGCAACAAGGAACATTCAAGTCGGTCGACAGCGGGGTAGCAGGTCAGAGTGATCGAAAGCAGGAGAACATTGAGGGTTTCAGGTAGAGACCAACAGCCCGTAAGCTTTACTGAGATGAATGTCGACAGGTTTAAAGAATAACAGATGTCGAGGATCTGATCAGTGGTGTTGTCGAATGCAAAACCAGCCTTTATATTTTGGTAACACAGGGAACACAATACTGTAACTCCTTTGGTTTTTAAGGGGACGATCTCTCTTGCTAAAAGGAGCTACAGAACAAACCACCACAAACTTCACTGTATAAATCTTTGATTCAATTCTTTTGGCTGGCTTCCAACATTTTCTCCCAAACTGCGTATCTAAAGTTCTCCCAAAATTCATCCATATTCACAGAAATAACCTGGCCCGTAGGAGCTTGCCCGGTGCACTCACTCTCGCCAACAGATGTATATCGACTACCTTAATCTGAAGCATCGTCCTTATGACGAAATCGAAAATTTAGTCACTTCCAATTCCATTTTGCGAAACTCGTCCTTCGACAGAATACACATCAACAGGGCAAGACATCTCCGGTCTGCAATATTAACTATTGCTTGAGTGTCGAGGCATAGGATATGAGTGTCCTGATGAGAGCCGTTACTGCAAGCTATATAAGCAATAGCGCAAAATTATTCACTTCTAACATAGGCTCTTAAGATGCAAGCAATTTAACCTCTCAAATGCCGAATTTGTCTGTTAGTCCAAGGATAGCAAGCCTCCAGAGTGCTTGGATAGAACTAGAATCATTTATTACTATGCGCTTTATAGAACGCCAAAATTCTTACCTAGTTGTTCTTGTTCAGGAGAGGATCCTATTTGAGTCGTGCAGCTTGATGAGAATTATGCTATTGTCTTGTTGTCTTTTATACTTCAGATGAGATAAGTGTTGAGTGAATTGAAAATTGGCAAGACCATCATAATTTATATACATGCTTACATCGGCTTCCCACTAAGTTCTCTCAATAGCTTCTATGTCGTTGTGAACTAGCTTGAAGCTCTGCTAAAGTAGTCAAATCTCAGCTTCCGTATATTGTATGGGGAAACTCAGGATTAAGAGTGAGATCTTGCAGAGCGAAATATAAAAGAATGAACGTTTAAAAATGCAAACATAAGGCATTGTAAAGGATAATTCCCAAGTTGATGTGCAACAGGTGATTAAAATTTAATGAGAATCTAGAGAATAGCCAAGCTAGGTGATGAACTATGTAGGTGTCAAAGAAAGACACACAACAGACGACAAGGTTGATCCACATTGAAACACGAAAGCAGTTCAGAGTATTAGCAAGAGAGATACCGAATTGCCTGTGTTACATTTTCTCGGCCACCTTGAACCTATCACCACCGGGTACAGCAAAAGAAAATGAGAAGTGCAACTGCGTGGACAAATATCATGATTCTCTAGCCTAACGTTACAATCAGCACACTGACGAGATCACAAGTATTGCCTACGTAGCATACTACATAGAAACTGGAATGGGCTACTTGAGAAAATATCCAAGTTTGCGGGTGGAGATGTCAATGATTGGTTTGCCTTAAGCCTGGATGTCCAAGTCTTGCTTCCGTTCTGCATGTACTTCTTTTAGATATTTGCTTTTTCTGAATCTCCTTTATGGTGGAATAACACTTGAGACAAAAGTATGTCAGGCTTGTATGGCATCGTAATGGTTCTCTTTTGTGCTCCACATATACCCTTAAAAATGCCTTTAACTCCGAGATTTTTCTAAGTCATATACTACTCCGAGAAACTGAGATGTTCCTTTTCCGACACAGTTCTCAGAAGTTCCGCAAATTGGTGAGGATGGATGAGTGATTCTAACACGCAGTCTGTATGACAGCTTAATTGACAGTGTAAAAATGGTCCAACCTGAAACCTTTGGTTTTCCATCTGGTAGTATTAATTCTGCATTTTATGACGCTTGCTACCGAGACAACCTGTCTTCAGTAGCGAAGCTTGTTAGATCAACAAGAAACTAACCCTTTCTATAATCTCTGTTATTAATGAAATTTTTTTTCTTATTCTTTTGAAATCTCTCTTTAAAGCTTTGGAAGTAGCTACTTGCTTTGTAAAGCAGGCCATGCCGAAAGAGTACGGTGCTGCGAATTCAAATAGATGTGATATGACAGGCTGGGCAACGTTACATTTGGCCAGGACCCCTCAGCGGGGCACGAACAAGGCTGAGGGACTGGCAACTACACACCAGGCTGGATAGATAAAGATCCCATTGAACCTATCTATGTAGCAACCATGAGAATCCTGGGAATCCTGGGAATTAAGGTCTAAATACTCTCATAATGGCGCCCCATGCAGATTTTGTGGATGATGCCGACCGTCTCCCAGCCCCTCCTCGTCCTGTTATGTCAATTAACCCTCCTCGACTTCTCATCATCGGCGCAGGCTCTCGTGGAAACGCATACGCTCATGCAACTGAAACCGCATCAAATGGAATAGTGGTAGCAGTGGCAGATCCTATAGTATACAAAAGGAGGCGCTTGGGAGAGAGATACATATGGGGCAAGACTGGACCTTCTGAGGGGCAGGAGTTCGAGGATTGGAGTCATTTTGTGGCATATGAACAAGACAGAAGATCAAGAGCTGCGCGAGGAGATGATGTCCCAGAAGGTGTAGATGGTGTCTTTATATGCGTTCTGGATGAGCAACATAAGGAAGTGATCCTCGGATTGGCGCCACTGGGTCTCCATATTATGTGCGAGAAACCTTTGGCTTGCACCTTGGAGGATTGTGTTGCAATATACAAAGCCCTACTCCCAGGATTGCCTGGAAACATTACACCGACAAAGATCTTTTCGATTGGCCATGTTCTGAGATATAGCCCGCATAATATGCTCTTGAGGAAGCTATTACTGGAAGACAAAGTTATTGGAGAGACAGTGTCAATCAACCATACGGAACCGGTAGGATGGTGGCATTTTACACACTCCTATGTCAGGTACATTCTCTATGATTTTATGTAACACCCAAACTAATCATGATATAGAGGAAATTGGCGGAGAGAGTCTACCACTGCGCCTTCGTTGCTTACCAAATCTTGCCATGACATTGACCTCCTTCTATGGATGCTCTGCTCCCCTCCCCCCGGTTCTCCAAATGCTGCACATGTTCCTTCCACTATCACCTCAGCAGGCTCTCTACAGTTCTTTAACAAATCTCGCAAACCCTCCGCAGCTGGAAGTGCTACAAATTGTCTGTCCTGTCCTATCGAGTCCTCCTGCAAATACTCCGCGAAGAAGATATACCTTGGCAGCGAACTTAAAGGGCTAGGTTCAGGAAACACCCACTGGCCTGTTGATATTGTCGTACCTGAGATAGAAGAATGTATAGCCGCGGGAGGACTATCAAGTGGCGAGGCAGTCTTGAAAGCAAAGCTAGAGGAAGACTATACCACAGCAACACCAGCTTCAGAGATCTCCTCGAGGAATTGGTTTGGTCGATGTGTATGGGAGGCAGATAACGATGTATGCGACGATCAGGTGGTGACCATGACATGGGATAATGACCCTGTCCCGAATGCAGGGGGTGATAACGCGAAAGCACTCACAGGACGTGGGGCCAAAACTGCGATTTTTCATATGGTAGCACATACGAAGAAGATCTGTGAACGATATAGTCATATATATGGGACCGACGGCGAGATTTATGCCGACAGTGATAAGATCATAGTTGAAAACTTCAATACTGGAGCCAAGAAGGTATATAAGCCACATCTTGCGGGTGGGGGTCATGGTGGTGGCGATGCTGGTTTGGCCAGGCAGTTCATCCTGGCCGTCGATGCAGTCAAAAATCATGGTGCTAAAGTCCCTGATGCACAAAGGGAGCATGTTGGATGTAGTTTGGAGGAGGTAATTAGGAGCCACGCAATGGTCTTTGCAGCCGAGGATGCAAGGAAAGGAAAGAAGGTTCTCAACTTTCCCCAGTGGTGGAAAGAAGAGGTTGAAGTAGGTCTTTTGAAGGATGAATAGCGCTCCTACAGCTTGTGATAGCAATGGAGTTATGGTGTATGTGGAAAATATCCTTAACTGAACAACGTGCTCTTGCAATAGAGCTTAAAACGAAGATTATGGTAAACTGAAACATTTTGCATTATTGAAGCCTAATTTAGCTTCTTGCGACCTGGATACAAAAAACACATATTCCCCAGTTTAGAGATCCAAACAGGTACAAGAGGTGACGGGGCATTCTAGATGCGAAATTCCAAGCCAAAATTCAGACTTGAGTGGCAATTAGATATTGACCTGGCGCGAGAGACAGATAGACGACCTTGTAGGACGAGAAGAAAGACACAAATAGATGAAACAATCTAGGGAAATCATCTCATTAACACCCCGAGACTAAATTTCTACAAGCTTAAGCCACATAAGGAGCATGGGGAATTACGCCTGCCACGACTCTATGCAACGCTCAGAATCAAATCCCTGTTCGTCGCTAGATCAACGCC